TTATCATTCGCCCCCCCCCCCCCCACGGTTTAGCGAACAAGAGGTCAAGTAAGAAAATTAGTAAATTAGTCCTTGGAAAGTTATAATAATAAATCGTCGAGCAATCTCGTACGTTCTAAGCCAATTTCGCTCGAGGACTTTAGCTGCCTTCGCCCTGGCGACGAGAAGGAATGATCGGTCCAGCGTGTCCAAGCGCAATATGCCCCGGGATCGTCAGAGTCGCTTCCTCGGCGCACCGATCAATCGTGAGGGTTGGCCGGTGCCGTGGCAGCTAGGGAAAAGCCACTCGACTCCAAAAAATCTGCGCGATCCCCGCTCCACCAGGCAACTCGACGAAGCTGAGCTTCGCGCGTGGATCGTTCAGCGATGGATGACGAGTTGTTAGTTAAAGCGGCTCGCCGATGCAGCAGGACGCGGCGTATGCTATGTGAATATTAGGCTAGTTAATGATGAAACTGATAAGACTAAAAGTGCATGGTCCGATAAGAGAGGTCTTTGTACTCGAAGGCACAATGCGATCCTCCATTAAATTAGAGTTGTGTTATTTAAATGTATTTGTATTGTCGGTTGGCTTAATTCAGATGAAATATTCGTGACATGGCTATAGTTTAACGATTAGAGCATGTAAAATATTGTACAAAATACGTATTTATCTTGGTCTTTTGTAAAGAAAAAAGTGACCACTGGACTGGTCTCCCCGACCACTAGGGCACGGATAACATTGTAAAAAAAAAAAAAAAAAAAATTAAAAAAAAAAAAACAACAACAAGAACAACAACAACTACTACTACAAGAACAACAATAATTAACAAAATGTTGGCTTAATCAATCGTTCATTGCGTAGCTTACAAAGTCAAAATAAAATGAAATATATGACTCGGAAGGAAAAGCATTTACGTCATGGCGTCATCGAGCGTTTGACTTCTCCGTGCACAATATTCTGATTAAAACAAAAATAAACAAACCAAAAAAAATAAACAAAAAGACAAATAAAAAACAAAAAAAAACTTATAAATTCACTATTTTGTTTTGAAATGCGAGAAATGTAATGTGCTCCCTCCCTGCTCCACCCCCCCCCTCTCCCTCATAATCGATCGTTTCATCATTAGGTTTAATGGATTTAATTATAAAGTTTTCTGAAGTATTAACTCCCGAGACGAGTTTTGATTTTTTGCTTTAGAAAATATTTCAACGACTATAATTTTTATTTAATGTTACAAAATTTGTATTTATGGCCGTGTAAAGTTGAAAATTGGGCTCAATAAACAAATACTTGTCAACTAGTAATACATGGTATATTTAATATAGCAAAACAAACCTTTCTCCTTTATACATTATACATTGGGACGTTTGGCTTAAAGTGATAATACATGTTTAATGTCAAACTGAGAATGAGCAGCTTATAAATAATTTTTCCGAAAGCAATATCTAATTGGCTTTTCCGGCTCAACGACTACTCGTTATTATTGCTACATTATACTTTATTTCATACTATTGTAAACTTTAGATTGCGGAGTATAATAAAAAATATATTCTCCCAAGAGTTTTGTACTCCAAGTAGCGAGGTATTAATTAATAATAAGTTTTTCTTTTTCTCCCTCTCTCTCATCCTCAAATTTCTCCCTAATTTAGAAGGGACGACGACGTGTTATTATAAAACAACTTGTCGAATAAAACGAGAAAATTTTCACGAATCCCAGGAACGCATAGAAATATATTAACTTCTAATCGATAAATATATATTTCTACATATATATATATATATATATATATATATATATATATATATAGATTTATAAAGTGAAAAAAAAACAAACAAACAAACAAACAAAAATCTCAAACACAAATATGCACTAATGTGTTTATTCACAATCTTTTATTGACACAAATGTACCGTATACACAGGGGCTTGTCTATGCAATTACACTTTCCAAAGAATAGATAATAATAAAATCGAAATTTCCAATTATACCGTATTATTAAATTTTATTCGACTCGTACGCAAACTCACAATCATAGATGTTATTTAAAATTATTATTTTATAGGCTAGTAAAGCATATCAAGTGTCGGGCGCTCAATGACTTGACATAATGAACAAAAAACGAGCGTAATAGAGTTAAAACAGCGACAATAATGTCTTATCTTTCGTTGAAACGACGATTTTGGTGGGAAACGAAAGAAGAGTATCGTCGAAATACTGGTAAGTGCTCGCTCGACTCGTTAATACTCATTGTTACCGCAATTCCTGTGTCACGACAGGTACGCATCCTCACCTTTCGACAACAATGACTGACAATTTTTTCTAACTTTTACAATGATTCTCGATACGATTCTTAAAGCTTTTGCATCAAGCTCCTTTACACATTAGATAAGGATAAGGACTTTCATCTTTGCAAGATAATTCATTAATTTTTTTATTATTAACAGTCGCGACCAAATATTTCGTTTTTTTTTTTTTTTTTTTTTTTTTTTTTTTTTTTTTTTTTTTTTTTTTTTTCACACGACCCTTTTACCTCATATTGGCGCTCGAGATACTACTAAGTTGATGTTTCGTTTAACGCTTAATTTTCTTCTACGGTGATGTATTTTAATGTAAAGTCGCGTCGCGTCGCCCATTGGCTTTTTACCTGCAAAACTCTTTAAAGAGAAATCACGTAGAAACTTCTTCTTTTTCCTTTTTTTTTTCTTTTCTTTTGTTTTATTTTTTTTTCTTTTTTTTTTTTTTTTTTACAAAAAATTAAAACATACGTATAATAATATCAATCTGAATTGATAAGATTACTTGCCTCTTGATTCTTATACCTAAGATTCAAAGTAAATATTATTCAATAATAATTAAAAAAAAAAAAAAAATCAATAATGTACACATGTTTCACCAACGTCGTCTTCAAATGATTAGCACTTGTATTATGGATTATTATTGTTATGATTATTAATATCATCTCTACTAAGACGTCTGTATTTTACAGCTGCTGGTGCAATGAGGCATTACTTTGCATCGAGAGTCCTGATGGTCTATTCCTATTTATATTAAGCAATGAGTGAGTGAGTGAGTGAGTGAGTGAGTGAGGGGGGGGGGGGACCGTGGGAAGAAAGAAAAATAAAAATAAAATTTGACGATGAGCTTTGGTACTCGCGCAAAAACAATAAATATGGAGATTGCGTATACGCTGATCAAAATGAATATAAATTGAGGAGTTACAGCGGGGCTCGTTATTATATATTGTCGGTGAATCAGTTCCTGTCGTGCTGCTGATCATGTAGCTTTCGATAATCGTTCTTAGAATTAATTTCCAAACTGTCCAATGACACCGTGAGGTATCGGAGTCACAGATTACCCTCAATAGCCGGATTATGTAATTTAATAGGAACGAATGGCGGGTGGTACGGTGCTGCATTCATTGTCATCGAGTGTCTTGTCGATGACGGGCCTGTAATTGATTGTCACCTACGGATGAAAATTCACGCCCAATCAATCATTAAATTATCGTAATAATACGGTGTGAGTAATTAACATTTATCAGTCTCATTGGCATAGCCTTCATTACACTATATCACTTAATTCGGCTCTGATAATCTTTAGGCGAACCGAATTGGTGATTTTAGATTTTTCAGAGACAGGTAGTTGGAAACTATCATTACATTATTAATTGAATGAAGCAATTACTACCGTCTTTTCTCAAATTCAAGCCCGATCGAGTTTAAAACTTATCCATATGTCCCATTATTCTCATTCAAACCCTCATAAACTTTATCAATTTCACAATTTCATTAGTCTATTAACTAGCAAGTTCCATGGGATCGTCCAACGTAAACATTATTATGAGTAAGTTGGAGCCGCGTAACTTAAGTTCTCTCCTTATTTCTTACCTCTCCAGTTTCGTGATTGATGTTCGTGAGGGTGTGTTTTCGCCAATGCTGGTCCAGAGGTTTGGGCTCTTGGGATTCCAGGGGCTTACTGTAATCGTATTCGTCCACTCGATTCTTGAAATCTTCGCGCGCATGGGCGCCACGGCTCTCCTTGCGATTTTCGGCCGCGAAAATCGTCTGCAAGGCGTTGAGCATTAAATTTTGCAACTCGAAGGTCTCGATCAGGTCCGAGTTCCAGATGAGCGATTTATCCGTGATTTTCAGGTCGTTTATGTTTTTGTAGAGCGCAAGCATCCGTCGGCAACCTGTTATTTTAGAATATTTGTTTACTCAGACGGGGTTTGGAAAAATGTTAACCATCGCATGCCCGACATACTGAAATTTTCAATATACGCGCGTTTGAACGACCTCGTTTGTCAAAGGGGCAAGAAAATCGTTGGCCAACGCGATGTTGCGATTAAATTATATAATCGATAATCGTGCATGAAAGATTGACGGGAGAGTAGATTTACGAGAAAATTATTGGAAAAAATTTTCTCCAAACTTAATGTAACTTAATTTTTTCCAAACGTAACTTGAATGTATCATTGTTATATAATTAGCATTATGGCAATTCACCCATCAATTTATAAATTTTAATTTAATTAAAATTTCAATTTAAAAATTTACTGCTGATAATAATGATAATAGTAATAAAAGCATTATATATATATATATATATATATATAAATATATATAATAAAACTATTATACCTGAAACTTTATTGAAATATGGTAAAACCAAATAAATGAAAAAAGAGTAGTAATTTTATATTAGTTCGGCATGCCGTTCGAAATAATTTTATCCACTTGTTGTACGACTGGCGAGCCACTTGCCTATTCAAACGCCTTTTAAAAGCTTTCGGTATTATTTTTGTCCCGGAAAAAAAGCGAGAAATACCTTAAAGCTTAATTGTTAACGACAATGGAGATACGATTGATGATTATCATTACCTTCTTGTAAAACATCGGCCTGTCTGAATACCGCGGCGTGACTTTGCATCGTCTTTTGCATTTCCAATCTTAATTGGGCTGTTGGTACACAGCCTTTCCTATACCTTATTTGATCGAGATTCGCCACCGTCGCTTCCCCGGAATTCTGCAACGCAAACACAATTACCAGATATTTTTTTAGCCAGAACTTTCATTAAAAGTATGGTAGACGCAACCACGTTGGCCACGCAGGCATATATCCATACCACATTATCAGAAAGACACTGACATGATATGACGACCCTAATGGGCTTCTCATCTCAACCCTCTCGATCTTCATTTGACAAGGGCAATTGGTTTACCTGCTTCAGCTCGCCGATGGTCTCGCCGGGTTTGTTCTCCTCGGAAATGGTCTTGGCGCACGCTCGGCCGAACACTACCAAGTCCAGGAGGGAGTTGGCACCAAGTCGATTGGCACCGTGGACAGACGCGCAGCCGGACTCGCCGCAGGCGTACAAACCGGGCACCACCACATCCGCGTCATCCTTCCTCGTGAGAACCTGGCCACGGTAATTCGTGGGTACGCCACCTGTCCAAAGCATTATTACCACCTTAATGTATTTATTAGCCGGGGGGCAGTGTAGCTTAGGCTTTTGGTTGGGGGGGGGGGGAATCTCTGGAAAAGAGACAGTTGAAGATGAAGAAAGATTGAATAAAGAAAGGACAAAATAAACGGCTCGGGCGAGCAAATAAAATGATCGAAAGTTCAATTCACTTGCTTAAATAAGAAATAATTAATCTTGGACATAAATGGACATAAATACATTTGGTTCTTTTGCGGGGAGGGTGGGGTGTGTCTCTCTCGGAAATTTTTAAGAAAATTCGTATAGAACGATGGATAGTTAACGTTACCCATATTGTAATGGACGGTGGGTAATACGGGAATGGACTCGCGTGTAACATCCACCCCGGCGAAAATCATTGCAGTTTCTGAAATGCCCGGAAGTCTGGCGGCTAATTGCTCAGGGGGTAAATGATGCAGCTGTAGGTAAATATGATCTTTATCGGCGCCAACACCTCTGAAACAAAGTGGCTCGTTGTCTTATTTATAAACTGTTGGCCAGTTGCAATACTGGCTTACAAAACCAACCATCTTACTTACCGTCCTTCTCGAATTTCAATGGTCATTGACCTCGAGACTACGTCTCGGGATGCAAGATCCTTTGCCACTGGTGCATAACGTTCCATAAATCGTTCCCCTTCGCTATTCACTAGGTAACCACCTTCTCCTCGGCTACCCTCGGTTATGAGACAGCCAGCTCCGTAAATACCTAAGCAAACGTTTTTTTTTTTCCATTCGATTAATACATCTATCCAAATGTTTTATTTTCCGACTGATTTCTCTTAAACTTTATTGCATCACTTAACCTTCTGCTTTAAGTAATACAATTATATATTATTTTAAATACAATACGGCATTATCGCCGTGCGCTTATGCTTTCACGTTAATGTTCCTTTAATATTCAGTTTGACGTACTTTGTTAATTATCCCGAATCCCACAATCAAATATTGCAATTCTACCATCTTTTATACATTTTATTAGATATTTTTAAATTATACCTCTAATTTACGTGATATAGCTGCTACACAGTTAAAATGAAAAACAAAAAACAGAAAGGAAGATTGTGCGTGAGTAGTAATTGGTAAGGGCGAATTGGTAGGAGCTCGTACAAGACCTCGTCCTCGTATTATGATATAGAGAGGCATTGTTAAATTAAATGTGGGCGCAATGTCGAGATCCATGGATTGAAAGTCCATCCGAATCTGTGGAAATTTGATGTAGCTCGACAATTATTGGAATTTGCCCGTAGCTTACCCGTTGGATGGAACTGCACGAATTCGAGATCCTGGTTGGCTAGGTTGGCTCGCGAGACCATGGCCGTGCCGTCACCGGTGCAGGTGTGAGCCGACGTGCACGAGAAGTAGGCCCGTCCGTAGCCGCCGGTCGCCAGTACCGTGTTCTTCGCCCGGAAGCGATGCAGAGTGCCGTCCTCGAGGCTAATGGCTATTACACCGCGGCACTCGCCGTCCTCCATCAGCAGATCGAGGGCAAAGTACTCGACGAAGTAGTTGCAGTCGAAGCTCAGCGACTGCCCGTAGAGGGTGTGGAGGATGGCGTGGCCCGTCCGGTCGGCGACGCAACAGCACCGATGGGCCTGTCCGCCCTTGCCGAACTTGAGCGACTGGCCACCGAAGGCGCGCTGATAAATTTTACCTGCAATTGTAATGTTCCTTATAGTATTCGAGATTAAACTGTCCCTATTTTATCGGTTTTTTTTTTCTTTTATAAGTCTGCCAATGGTTAAGTTAACTAGTCTTGTTATCAATGATATGAAATTGTTAGATTAAGTGTGAGGAAAATACTTTAAAGTTGTCAATTTTAATGCTCGACACCTGACTTACTTGTTTCGACAAAACTATCCGTCTTTGCAGTTTTCATAGAAAATCGAGTTTCTAAACCTGAGTTATTATATTCTGAATTAATATAATATATGTATATGTATTTCACATAGAATGTCGATAAATAAATACATATTTATTATCATATACTGTTGAAAAATAAATATAAATCATAAAGGCATTGAGATATAAATTAATTTTTACAACCGGTCACATATTCACAGAGTTTCCAACTTTCTTGATACCAGGATCGTTAATAATGGCCAAACAGATATTATTTACCCAATTTCCAATTTTAAAAACGACTATGAATTTCGTGCTACGTGGGTTTGACAAAATATTAAATTATACATTTAACAATCTTTATCGTTGCTGATGATCTTGGCTTTAAAACTTTACGCTTTACCTTTAATAAATTCTTGACTTTAATTTTATATATTATCATATGCCAATAAAGCAAGTAAATTGATGGTCATGAACTTGGTGGTTTATGAATCAAAATTACTCATCAAAAGGTTAAATTCAAAGTCGTAATTATTATAAGGGAATACAAGTATTTACTTTCGAGGTGAATATCACTTTATACGTTCTAAAATAATTTTAAAAGCAACAAATCAAACAACTATAATTTAATATTCTCAAAAAAAAAAAAAAAAAAAAAAAAAAAAAAAAAAATGCTATATACATATAGAATTGATTAGTTTTCAAAAAAAGTCCGTGCTACGTCCGATTAACGTGCTGACTATTTTGTTTGAAAAACAGATTATATTAGACAAACTAAATTTCACTTTACAAAGCTAAAAACTATTACATTTATGTATTAACAATTGTTTATTATAAAGATTTTCATGAAACATAAAAGTTAATTTAATAATAATAATAATACTAAGTCGACCTATAATGCAATAGAGAAATTACAATTAAAATGTTAAGAAACTCGATCAATTTTTGCACAGTTTTATCATCATTCGACTAAAAATAAAATTCGTGTATAGCTTCAGAAATACTTATGATACGTTCAATAAAAACATATTCAATTAATCATTTCCTTTCGTATTAGACTACACGTTACAAACTTTGTAATAAATATATTAACACAACGATTAATGAAAGAAAGTATTTTCGATAGTAATACATTTTTCAAAATATTTATCTATTTTTTGATATTATTTTCATATACAACTTAAGAAAATACTTTGTAAAATATAGCAGCTATCTTCAAAACACAAAGAAGAAAAGGAATTTTAATTGGTAATATTTTATAAAGTTTGAATTTATAATTATAATTGTCAGCGAACTATATAAAATCAATTATTCAATTAATGAAGAATAAATCAATAGATAAAAAGCAAACTATATTTTATCTTCTCTCTATTCTCTATATTCTCTATATTCTCTCTCTCTCTCTCTCTCTCTCTCTCTCTCTCTCTATCTATCTATCTATCTATCTATCTGTCTGTCTATATACTTTTTTATTTTTATTTTTATTTTTAAAATCGAAAGCATCATTTAGAAATCAATTTAAGAAATTATTTTATATTTGTAATTAAAGTATTTTAATGGAATGAATAAATTTTTTTTTCTCCATATATTAATTTATATTTTAGAAAAGTAATATGTAAAAATACACTGCTTTCAATTTTGCTTAAAACTTTAATTTAAGTCTCTTATTCACTTTAGTATTGTTTTTTTTTTTTTTTTTTTTTTGTTATAGATGGAAAATAGTTTGTAACTATAAGCGAAAGCAACCATTGTATGTAAAAATATTTTTGGAGAACTAGATTTCAAGTACGTTTAAAAAAAGGAGAGCTAACTTCGGTTTCGAAAAAGAAAAAAAGACGAATCAATGCTTGGCAACTGAGTTAGGATTTGTTATATCTTCAAACGTCTCTTTTTTCTAAATTTTGTATCCGAAATTTTCGCATTTTAAGAAAATTTTAGAGAAGAATATCAATAAAATGTTAACAATTTAAGTAGAATATAAAATTTCAGCCTCCTATTTCGTTCTTAACAAAATGGATACCAATAGATTGAGGGAAAGTAGTGATGAACAGGACGATCAGGATGATCCAGATCAAGAAAACGTAACCAACAGTGCGGTGAACGATGTAAAAGGGACGGAGGATAGATTTATTGAAGATAGACGAGAAAGTCGCTCCAGTCTAAGCCGCAGGTCATCAAAACAGAAGAGGTAAATTCATCCTACGAAAGTAGTTATTAGCATATATCTAATAACAAGACAAGGAAAGAATGTTAAATTATCCCATTTATTTATTTATTTTGTTGTCGTCGTCGTCGTCGTCGTCGTCGTCGTCGTCGTCGTCGTCGTTGTTGTTGTTCAGTGCGAGCAATGAATTTCAATTAAGTAAATTCACTCGAGTGACGAATGTTGCCTGTAATTTTTTAAAAATTTACCATTACAATTGTTGGAATAATATTGAATACACAAGTTATATGGTGTGGATTTTTGCATAATCAGTTTTGATAATTTTGTGCTTCTTAGAAAGTAAGTCGATATGAAACAAAAAAACAAAAAAAAAAACAAAAAAAAAACAAAAAAAACAAACAAAAAACAAAAAAAAAAACAAAAAAAAACAAAAAAAAACAAACAAACAAACCACGTACGTGCAATAATAATGCTATAAATATTCTATTAACGTTATTGTTTTGTATATAAATGAACAGATTTTATTAATTTGTTTGCAGAAATAACTCAAGATCAGAAACACCACAGAATCATTCTCGTACGTCAAATCAACTAAATTCGACAAAACGCAGTTGGAGAAGTGCTAATGCCTTTATAAACTTTGTGCAAGATTTTAAAAGGGTAATAAAAGCACACTTATTATAATAATTTTTTAAAGAATTTAACAAACAAACATCTTAGGATTATCCTGACATGACAATCGGTCGTAACATCTTTCAAATATGTGGCGAAAGATGGAAAGCCATGTCAAACGATCAGAAACAGCCATACATCGCAGCTGCAAATAGTGTGAAGAGGCTAAAACAACGAAAAGTGGTCGATAATTGCGAACAACAAATTAAAAAATCTGTTACACGTGTTTCTAAGCGAAAAGCTGATACGAAACGAAAAGAAACAAGTCAGAAGCTGTCTAAGGTTGTTCTTACACTACTAACCCTTGCTTTTATATTGTTTAAAAGTTTATAAAGTAACGTTTTATCAGGTAAAATATGTTTTGATCATTTTTAATTTTTTTATGTAAGGCAATTATACGAGTCCCAAAGAGCAATTCGGATACTGATACCGCAACAACAACGGTACATTCGTCAATGAGTGATGCTGACAGTTTGTAATAAATATACTTTGTAAAAGTTCTGTGTTAAACGTTTCTTAATTGAAGAAAAAAATTTTCTCTCTCTCTCTCTCTCTCTCTCTCTCTCTCTCTCTCTCTCTCTCTCTCTCTCTCTCTCTCTCTTACCGGTCGTGTTTCTCGCACTTTTAAGAAAGATATAACCAGAGGCTTTTATTACTTAATTGATAAAAACGAATTTTTTATTTTCAATGAAAAAAAAGTAGCTCAAAGCTTGTGTATAAATGTGGGAAAAATTGTTTTTGTACAATAATGCTTATTTCATTATGAAAATAAAATTTGACTTTAGACTAATAATCAGTTTCGTGCTATAATTTAGTAGACTAATACATAAGCTTAGGAACGCTTTATAATTACGTCAACTTTTTATGTATGGCATTGTGGGATTAAAATAATGTGGGTCAGTCGCAATAATAGAAGCATTAGCATCCAGTTATGCTCCAAGCCCCCTCTCCCCCCCCCCACCTACCCACCCACCTCACCTCACCTCACGCCCATCCCCCACCGTGTCACCAACACAACCAACACCACCACAGTCACCATTACACCACCCCGCCAATCCACTCACCTACCCACCCGCCCACAATACCCCAATGCCATTGATCATTATTTACAGCTCAAACAATTGAATTTTTCTCTTACGAACGTTGACTGTACTTCATAATTTTCTTAATTAGCTTACCCTCTTCGGTTCGACTGAAGGGCATGCCACAGTTTTCTAATTCAATGACAGCTTTCGGGGCCTCTCTCGTCATATAATGAATAGCATCTTGATCGCCAAGCCAATCCGATCCCTTAACAGTGTCGTACATGTGCCACTGCCATTTATCCTCTTCCATGTTTCCAAGGGCAGCATTAATACCTCCTTGAGCGGCAACGGTGTGAGATCTCGTTGGGAATAGCTTGGTAATAACCGCAGTTTTAAAACCTTCCTCGACAAGACCATAAGCAGCTCGAAGACCAGCACCACCAGCTCCGACTACCACCGCGTCGTACGTGTGATCGACTAATGGATAATTTGCTGAAATTCCATCACAATACTTTGTCGTTTTGTTATCCGGTGTGTAGTGCAGAGAGCGCTGAGTTATTATAGGTAGGCCTAATTTATTCTAAAAACAGAATTTTTTAAACCGTTAAGTTTACAGTCTTCTATATAAGTTTGGCGTGTGCTTCATTTATATCTGAATTGGCACAATTATATGGCATGCTTATAGCTTGATAATTATGCGTAACATTCAAGAAGCATAATTCCACAATTGTCAAAAGTCTAATGTAAATGTCAATTATTTGGCGAGTGGCTGTTACATCGATGGCTACTCTAGCCAGTTTTATCATTTAAGGGTAAGTAATGTCAATGGAAAGTAAGTTAAACGTAAACGAATAGATGTTAGTGGAACGTCTAGGAGCTCGTCCAATCATTATCGAATACTGTGCTCTTAATACAATCCAAGAAGCACAAATTTTATTAGATGTACATCCATGTACATCAAGGGATAGGTTCTTAATGGTATCAACAACCGTCGAGCCTTGGCCAGTTACATAAATTGAATTCCTTCTGTCGTAATAATAATTTGATTAAATTAGTCACAAATAAGAGTTTAAGATCACGCAAACATACCAAATACTCTAGTGGATAAAAAATCCATCGCAACTAACGTACTCACATCAAAACCGAATTATATAATCTTACTTTCAAGCATTAAGGGAAAAGTGTATTGTCTTGCCACATCAATTACGACTCAATTTCATTTTCCAATAGCACCACCCTCGGCCTCGCAAATAAAGCTTCGTTACAAAGGTAAAGTGCAGGTACCTTTTTGTCAAAAAGTTTTATATCGCTTAGAGGACTGAGTTACGAGCCGATGTCGTGGAAATGCCATATCTACTGAAAAACTTTCATCTCCATAATGGAATACAATTCAAAATCGTTTGCATAACGATCCTATCTCGAACTCCTGAAATAACCGAGATGGATGAATAAATGAAAAAGCAAATAAGAATAAATTTTTCACGTTCACGTAAATGCGTTGATAAAGAAATTTAACGGCGCGAGGGCAATGAAAGCTTCGACGAAGGCCGGTTAAGGGTTTTCTCGCTAATGAAAATCGTCTGCTAAGCGCCTCGGCATCCCGTTTAACTCAACTCGACTCGCCTCGTAATAATCGTCGTCTGGCGGCTAACTTACGTACTCGCACGTACGCACTTCGTAATATCGATAATCGAGATGCTACGAGCATTTACCGGGAGAAGAAATTTTTACGAAGAACAAGTAAGAGAACGTGTAAAAGGTAGCCTTACGTAATAATCCACGACCGAGGAAGTTTGACGATACTAATACAATGAAAATATTCGGTATGGCGGGTAAGAGTGGGGGTTGGGGAGGGGGAGAGAACACGAGGATCGCGGGGAGCCACGAGAAGGAAAGTAAGGGGGCGACTGGGGGTCGTCCAATGTCCTTTTACCGACGTCCCAACGTAATTATGTAATCGGCTTAAGGTGAGTCCTTACTAGCGTCGTCGTCGGCAGGCCCTTGGCGACGAAGCTCGAAAGCTTCAACATCCCGTTCATCCTGGCACTCGTGCACCTCGCACGCTCCCCCTCTTTAGTAACTTTGATTCACCGACTCTTCTACTAAACTCTTTAGTCTTTCACTCGCCAAGTGAAAATCCTACTGCGACGACTCTCGCGGACTTTCCAATCCGGGATACTTCAACGATACGTTTGCCGCTGCTGTTGCCGCTACTGCTGCTGCCGCCGCCGACGCCGCCGCCGCCGCCGCCGCCGCCGCCGCCGCCGCCGCCGCCGCCGCCGCCGCCGCTACTCAACAGGAATCGGAATAAGATGCACTTCACCACCACACGCACTTATTCCACGGCACTCGTGACCGTGTATTGGATATAGGATTTTGCTCTCTCGCTCTATCCGCGATTATCTGCTGGGCAGTCGTCCGCCGCCTGTCGATTCGATGCCGATCGCTCACCACCTCGAGCTACGACGACGATACGCGTGTGCCTGTTACGTTACGATATTCCTCGATTCTCGTTTGCGCCAACTACTCTGATCCACTCTGTGCGCGCGCATTGCACGTGATATTTGGCTGAGTGACGGAGAAGAACGGGACATGGGGCGGGAAGCCAATGAATGAAGAATAGAGTCGTTCGCTCGCCGATTAAAGCCGCGTCCAGTTTTTCCTGCTTTTCGCCATTTGGATCATCTTCGGCTTTCCCCATCATTCTTTAAATTGATCTATTCCATTTCCCAAGTACTTTCCGATCCTAATGGGGGTGGTGGTGGTGATGGTGGCGGTGGTTGGGGAGGAGGTAATTTGTAGGTTATGGAGCGGCAAATAGGGGTTGGTGGACGAAGGGGTTGGGGGGCGGGGCGGGGGGGGGGGGGGGGTGCTACGGCGCGACGTTGAGTCTTCTTATTTTTAAAAGTTGACGCGTAGCGCACGAGTATGGTGCATACGCTGATTTACTTGCAGCGGGAATTATGAATTAACGAGGATTCTAAAAGACGGCTTATTCTTTCTTCCCTTCTGAAAATGCTGAAGGTTACTCGCGCCCTTTTATTAAGACATTGATTATCACGGTGGCTCTCGTGTACGTTAACGTAGATGCAAACGAGTTTGTTTTCAAAGCATTGGCTGACAAGTAATTAGCCCCGAATATCATTACCGCGTATTGAAAGATGGAAATAAACTCGATTGTATTGCTTTACTTATCTTCTAATATTGAATGAACATAATTTTTTCCGTTTTATGTCTATCTAAAGTTTTATCAATCATGACTTTCTCTTACTTATCACTGCTCTGAAAGATTCTTCATCACATATAAAAAAAAATCAACTATATATCGAATGTATTCTCATTAAATTAATAATTATTGTGATAAGGTAATTTGTAACTAACGGTAAATTTAAAAAAAAAACTTGAAAGTAAAATTGAAAATAAATATACCTTCACGATACGAGAAGTATATCGATATATATATATATATATATATATATATATATATATGCATGTATGTATGTATGTATGTATGCATGTATGCATGTATATATACACATTAAAAAAAAAAAAAAAAAAAAAAAAAAAAAAAAAAATATTATTAGTAATTATTCTAGTTCAATTATTGAAATATAATTTTAATTGTTTTTTTATTTATTGACTAGCAAAACGATGTATTATTAAATCATTACGATAATTAAATTGAAGAAAGCTATTCTTAATATGTACGTGAGTATGTATCCATTTAAATGGACACATTAAAATGAGTGAATAAAGTGAAAAGGCAAAGATTTAGTTCGTTATGAAATAATAGTAAACAGATAAAATTGAAAATAGGAGAGTAATGGGAACGATGATTTTCTTGAATTTTCCAATGCTAATTAATCGAGGAATCTTTTAACGACATCTATACATCAAATAAATATATAGTTGTAAATAATATTTTTTATTAATACTAAGCAAAAGCAATTTGTTATATATTGCGTCAGCATTACGTTATATGATAGATGGTTAACAAATATACAATTTATTTATTGAATTCTTTTACGTTACACATAAATAATATACAACTATATAGAAAAAATTTACATTGGACTATTATTATCAATATTATTCGAATAAATATCACTAACAATGACTTTTTATCGTCCTTAACTTTTTAATACATTATGCTTATAAATTTGACAATAGAATTTATTATTTTCGTTATTTTTGATAATTATAGAGGGTATGAGAAATATTATTCAATGTAGCGAGAAAAAAATATTGTAAATAATACATTTTACAATTCGAAAATAAAATAATCACTATTTCACTATAGCTTTATGTATTCAATTACTTATATATCGATGACTTTTAGTTTCCATATAAAATTATAATGTAGGAAGCATGAATTTTCATGCAATGAAGGCTGGAAATTTTAAATATAAAAATGCGAATACAAAATTTTATGTAGTAGATAATAGTTAATGTTAGTAAATATTAAGTGAAAATAGGATTAATCATAATTAGAATGATTAATTATTTACAAATAATAGCAATAATTCATAGCAATATTCCCATGGGCTCACGTATTAATTAGAATTAAATTAAGCCGATCAATATACCCAGTAGTTTCAAATGTTGGCAATTTCATTTAATTCACAATCCTTTGTTCTTTTCTTATGATAGGTGAAATATATTTAGCCTCCCATTCAACGAGTGCTGTACCGATTATCAAGCGATAAGAAATGAAAATTGTATTTGTAGTCGAGTTATGTAAAAACATTACTAATTTATGTTACTTTTTCTCTCTCAAAGTGCTCACTTTCATTATTGCAGAGCTATTACAAGAATTAAGTTTTAAAATAAGTTTACGACCGTTGAAAGGAATATGCGATTGAATAAAATTTTCCTTTCTATTAAGTTATTGGATTTGTCTTACATTTTAAGTTATTAACATTCAATTTAGCAATTTAGTTAAAAAAAAAAAAAATTATTCCTAATTTCATTGACAAATTGTTACGTGAAATGTAAACTTGTTCCATTTTCTATAAATACTGATTTTTTTTGGAGCGTCAGGCGCATTCAAGGTAATAAAAATTCCTGTTTTAATATTGAGATACAGATAATCATTATTCCCATACAGAAAACTATATATATTGCAACAAGTATTGTTGTTTATGTTTCTTTCGAATTCCGATATTAAATATCCGCTATTAGCAGTACTGTATTTCTGAAAATGCAATGAAAAATTTGATTTTAAAATGACAGAAGAGTAAAGCCTTAACTGAATAAACAGGAAATTCATTACAGAGTGCAATTATAACACTTGAATTCTTTCATTGGCAATATAACGAAAGCATATAATTTAATATTATCATCGATGATGAACACGACACGACGGGTCGATCTCAATTAGATAAAAGTCCACTCCATTTTTCTTCTCACATTTCTCTCTTAGCGTGCCGAATATATTTGTTATGATGCAATAAGCTGTTAAACATGTTGTTAATTACTTCTTTTTTTTTTTTTAAAAGAAAAAAAAAATCTAAATATCAAGTATAATATATGTAAGTAATGTGATTATTCAGTTGTTTTCTTAATATTATGAAACTGACTGATTACGCGAATGTTGGGTCAACGTTTTTCTTATTTGGTTCTGAATTGTCACTGAATAATCAAATTCGTCATTTCGCTCGAGACATTACGTATCTCGAGTCTTTGCGCTTCACAACCCAGAAAACTACGTACGTACTGCTGCATATACACGATAAAAAATTTTCAATTCCAATAGGTCAATTAATCCCGGTACTTCAAATCATTAAACGATCGTAATTCTCTTCGTGTGAAAAAAAAAAAAAAAAAAAAATATATATATATATATATATATATAAATTCATACTGTTCAAATTCATTCAAATATACGGACAAAAATATGTTTACACTTGCTGAAAATTTTAAAATAATTACAAAAGAAACATTTACATTTTCATTCCAATCGTTAAGATATTTTTGTTTTTGTTCGATAATAATGGAAATATTTTCAATTGTCACATTTCTAGAATTTTCAACAACTATATAGTAAGGGGCCATAAATTTTCCATGTTATTAACTACTTGTGAGATAAAGAATGTACACTTGAATAAAATTACGTTGGAACTTTGACTTCTGAGATAACTCAATGTATTAATTTACAAGCTAAAAATTAAATTTTTTTTTAAGTATTATTGTTAGTAGATTTTATTAAAACATCGCAAATATTTTGTCTAATTATACGCGACTTTATTAATTTCATTATAAGTAAATAATATTGCTTTAACTAATTAACTAATACGATAATGTAGATAATAAATAGCGAGTTATCGTATGCTACATTTCATTTATCATTATCAATAAATTATAAACATAAATGTTGATTATACTAATTTACTAATAAGCAAGAAACATTTAAACAAACAACGTCTTTCAGCTACTAAATTTATTTTAAAAGTTTCTCGGCCCTTCACTACTATATTACTAAAATTTGCCATTTACTTAATAATGCCTAAATTAATAACCGAAAATAAATAAAAATTGGTTATCACAAACTAATTTCCGTCCAAAGAATCTTAATTTCATTACGCATAAACGTTCATTAGCCAACGCAAATAATCTATAATTAAGTAACAAATTTATGCTTTAGAAAATAGCTTTAGATAATGATTTAGAGTTTTATTACGCTTCAATTAGTACTATCAGCTAGTTGTCCGTTAATTAAGTTTCATAAGTATATATTAATTTTTATGAACGAAGGTTAGAATATTTTGTGAAATAATTTTACTACGAGGAAGACAAGTGCATAGAATTTTAATAGAATCAGTTGGGAAGGAATGTAAATAAAGTGCAGGCTTTTACGTGCACTTTGAGTAATTCACACGCGTAATTTTTTCTAATTTCCAAACAGACATAATGCATAATTATACTTATTTGATACACGGAACAGTTGTTCCGCGGGTTTCGCTAAATCTTGTCTCGCAATTTTGCAATGCAGATTTCATCTTTAGTAGAACAACAACAAGCCACGTGAAATCGAGCGAGTAAATGTTTGCCACTAAATATTTTACACTACCAAATATTTTAATTTTATAAATTTTAGTTGCTGCTGTCGCCCAATTAATTTATCGTTTATTCCGATTAATACTATTTCATGCAATCATTTGCCGAATATCCATTTCCACATAATCAAACTAATTATATCAGTTTGCGAACGAAGTCAATCTATA